AATAGGAAAATCCTTTGTACCTGGGGAAGAGGGTGGGGCTTTAAAGGGGGCGGGGCAGGGGGCTTTCCAGGGCCTGCCACAAAAGAATTGCACGTCCTCATAAGGTAACATGGCAAATGCAACCTCGGGTATACATGTAATGCTACATGTGTTGACCTAGAAGTAAGTTTAGGATAGGGCTGTATACTCCCCTGATTTTAAATACAGAATTGCTAGCTATTTCTCATACCCTTTACGGATGGAGAACGTGACACTTTCCAAAGCTGATGCTGATCAAAAGCGAATGGCAGGCAGCCATTCTGCCGGTGAAGCCTTCCCCGTTGCATATCCGTCTGCTGTGTCCTTGAAACGTGACGCCAGTGCTTGTAGGAAGAGCCCCGCGAAGTATTTATTCATTTATTTATTAAATTGATATGCCACCCGACTCCCAGCGACTCTGAGCAGTTTACAAAATGTTTTTAAAAAATCATTTAAAACAAAATAACAGAAAACCAAAAAAAAAGATCAAAGGTGGCCGAGATAACCAACCCAGATGGGAACAAAAGAAAAGAAGAAAAGGGGGCTTCACTCCCCCCCGCTGTGAGAAACAAACCTCCAAGTTCCAAAGAAGTAAGACAAAGATCCAATGAAGCAGCAAGGCATGGCCTTTTATTAAAAGAGCACGTGGTTGCAACAGCGGGTGTCCAGCAAGCAGGCACACCCTGTGATAAGATGCACGCACTCTTTATTCCCTGTGCCCAAGCGAAAAGACCCTCCTCCATTTCCCCATTGATTAGGTACTCAGGAGTTTACAACCTATCCTATACGCCTAATGCAACTCATGGACGTCCCGCCTTAGTTTACATCTCCCATTACCCTTATTTTAGAAGCCCCTTGCCCATATTTGTTTAATTCCTTCTATGGCAGTTTTTGACATTAGCAGTGAGTTTGCTCAGCAATGTGGTTTACCACAAAACCCACTCAGGTCAGTTCGTTAGCGCTCTATTCAGAAACTCCTTTTACCACTTGCACGAGCTTCCTTCCAAATTACCACATCTTCTGCATTTCAGCTCTTCTGCTCATTTAGTACTACTTTATGCTAAGACCCTCCCTATGCAATTGAGGACTAGTAACTTAATTGTATCACTATATATGTTTTGCTTAGAAAAGCAGGGGTCTGGGAGATCCCCTTTCACTACTAGTTGCTCATTAGAGTTTATTTGAAAGCATATACTGTTAAATTAGTTTACTTGCAAAAACAACACTTTTATTATTTCTCACACCCGCCAAAGGTCAGGTCTTCCTTTGAAACACAGTGGGGTGGGCCTGTCCGAATTTTGTGGGGCGGACCTCCTTCCAGAGAGCTACAGAGAAGATGCGCTTCTGGGGTCCCGATAGATGGCATTGCTAAATTGAAGGAACGCAGAGCACGCCAACCCTGCCAGGTCAGATCGGCCGGGCAGATACTATGGGAGACTGGTGGACCCTTAAGTAACTGGACCCTCTACCATGTAGGGCGTTATTGATAACAACTGACACCTTGAATCACACCTGGAAGCAAACAGGTAACCAGTGCAGCTTGCGAAGCAGAGGTGTTACCTGGGCATACCAGGGCATGACCGTCACTGCCCGCACCGCTGCATTCTGGACCTGTTGAAGTTTCTGGGTGGTCTTCCAGGACAGCCCTATGAGGAGTGCATTGCAGTAGTCAAGCCAGGGGGTGACCAGGGCATCCCAATCCAGGAAAGGGTGCAACTGTCCAAGTACTGCAATCACACTTCCTTGTCCCACTGGGATAAATACACTCCCATTCGCGACCTTCCCCGCACATGGAGAAGTCCGCCAACTGCAACCTAGAACCGGACGTTCTTGCTTGACTTGATGCTCCCCTTGATTTAGACTGGGACGCTCTAGCCACTAATTCTCCCGTTAGAAAGCCCCAGGTAACCTTCGAACGTCCCTGGCTCGATGGTTCGGAGCTAGAGAGGAAGGGAGGGAGAGTCGCGCGGGGCAGGCTGGGAAGGCCGACAGTTTCCGCTTTCGTTTCCGGCGCCACCATTTTGGTTTCCTTCCCGGGGAGGGTCGGCGGTTTGCGGCCTCGGCGGCGATGAAGCCCCTTCTGGTGCTGGCGCGGGGCATCCCGGTGAGTCAGTTCCGGCCGGGGGGCGGCGGCGAAACCGGGCAGCCGACGGGGGCGGCGCGCCGGGATAGGCATCTCCCCTTCCCGGGTGTGAAAGCGACCTTGACCGGGTCCTTTTAGCCAAGGCGGGCGGCCGGGACGCTGTTGCTGCTTGTCAAGAGCCGGTGGAGGGAGGGTGAAGGCCTCCTGGGGTGCCTGAAGGTTAGGCTCGCATGGCTGAGGCGCCCCTGCAGGGCGGTCGAGGGGTCGTCGGGCTCTGCCTGGGGGAGAGAGGAGAAATCCTTGCAGGTTGAAAGCTAGCAGGTCAGGGAGATGGGTATATGTCCTTATCCAAAGGACATATAAGTTCTCTTGGATGAAGAACTGCGCTCCACGTTGGCTAGGACTCCTTTTTCTAATTCGTATTTAATTTTTGATTATATCTTTAAATTTATTTATTTATTTATTTATTTATTTATTAAATCTCTTTCCACCCATCTCCAAATGGGAGGAGTTGCAAATATTATCCTACCGTCATTTAAAAAAAAAAAGCCTTGCATGGTTTTTAAAAGCAGTTGCAGAGGGAGGCTGGGAAGATAGAAAACAGGTAGAAAGCCCAGCAGGGGATGGATGCAAGGGGGAGAAAATGTCAGGTGCTGTCTTAAGGAGAAAGGCCCTGTACATGGAGTCTTGCGAAAGGAAGTAATAAGGCAGGTATTAAAACTTTAATTTCCCAAGTGGGACAGTTTATTTATATTTATTGGCCAGTGGAGTTCTGCCTATGAAGGATTTATTGAAGACGTGGAGATCTCTCTGCGCATCATTAGAACATTGGAAGGTTATCTTAAGTAATGGTTTCTAACCTGTCCTTTCTTATGATAATCGTGACATACATAGCACATAGTTTTGCAGAAAGTTCAGGAAGTAGCTGCTAGGTGGCATTTGAACAATCAATTTTTTTCTCTAGGACTGCCTTCCTAAAGCTGTAAGCAAATTTGTAAAAAAACTGAAGTTAAAAAAACCCCCTCTTTTCTTCCTTTAGTAGCTTTGCTATTCTAAAATTGCATGTATGGCTTTTAAATGAGGTGCAAGGCTTGGTTTCTATCCAGAACAAACAGTGAATAAGGCTCAATACGGTTGGGAGAAAAGAGCAGCAAAGTTTATTCTTACATAGTCAGCGCTGCAGTGTTTACTGTTCTGTGCCATGCTGAGATTCTAAATCAAATAATTTCTTATATGAGAATGGGTGTTTAAAATGCCCCATGCATTTGAGTCAAGTATGTTTTACCAGGAAATTAAGCAAAACTGTTTTTTCTATGTGGACAGCACGCAAATGGAATGTTCTGGTGATTTATACATATTTTTTCAAATCTATCTTGCATTTATTGTCTCTTAATAGAAAAAGTTTTACTCTCTCCACGCTGCACCCAAAGTTAAAGTCTCTGCAGCACCCAAAGTGCAGCTACAACCCCAGGAACTTGAGGTCAGTCTGAACTTGAAGGAATGTGCTTTGCGTTTTGACATTTTGCTTAACAGTAAAGTCCCGTGAGTCTTACATGGACTGATACCTCCTTTCCTAAATGCAGATCACAAAATTGCCAAGTGGTTTGGTGATTGCTTCTCTGGAAAACTATTGCCCAGTTTCTAGCATTGGCCTCTTCATTAAAGCAGGCAGCAGATATGAGACCTCCACTAATCTGGGAACTTCTCATCTGCTCCGTCTTGCAGCCAGCCTGGTAAGATGCCCTTTTTTATTTACTTTTAGGAAATGCCTTTCAGATTATTGAAGTCTAATGCGCTAAACATGAATTTGAGGTTGGAGAATCAGTGAGGCAGCTGAGTAAAGTCCAGGTAGAATTATGAAAGACCCCTTTTTTTCCCTGGTGTTAAAAAAATGGCCAAAAGTGAAAAGGGTACGTGATGGTTGGTTGCCTAAGATGTCTACCGAATCTCCTCAGTGGTTGGCCTTCAAGCCAGAACTGGAAGCCTTGAAGTGAAGTGGGCTAACACTGTCTGCTTATGTAGTAATTTGGAGATAATCTTGGCAATATGATGAATGGTTTCACATAGCACACTAGGCCAGGGTTAATTTCAGCATAGCATGAATAAACTACAATTATGGATTAACTTAAGGTGCAAACCAAAACGATACTACATAGAACCAAATGTTGTAGGGCCATTTTTGCCCTTGAAAGTCAGCTCTAAGTAATCTTAACATATTAATGATGTTATATGTTATAATTATCCAAGTTTGCCTTCCTTCATAGTTGATGTTAATCGTGTTGATAGATTCAGTTTTTAATCAGTGAATTTATCTCATCTTTCATGTCCCTCATATCTTATAGTTCTTTGTTGTCAGGGTGGGACAAGAGGCCCAGGGCAGTTTTCAGCAGAAGCTGTGACTCTCTAATAAAATCTAGTTCTGTTAGGATGGAGAGGATCTAAGCCTTTTGAATTTCCATAAAATTGATCATTTAGCTCAGTTCTCCTTACTTCAGATTGCATTGTCTTTCTCAATCCTACCCATTGTAAACTAAATAGTTTAGCGCTATGAGATTGATTCGATGTGTCTGGTATGGCAAAGTTACATTTCTTTATGAGGTGGTTATGGCTGCCTTGATAGTTACAACTCAGACTGTTAAACCTTTTCCCCCCTCTTCTTTCAGACCACAAAAGGAGCTTCTGCCTTTAAGCTCGTCACTGGCATTGACAGCGTTGCGGCTAATCTCAGGTTTGTTCCGGAAAGTTCACCTGTCTTTTGAAGAGTTTGGGGAAATGGATTCTTTGTTTGTTCACAAGGCGCTTCTTTTAATAAAAAGAAAGGCATATATTTGAATTCTGCATTTTACCAAATATGCAGATAAGGAATTTGAACAGCTCATAGCAGGACAACTGAAGGCAGCAAAGGCTTTAAACAAACAGAAAAACTGGAGGCTTTTCATATTTTAATATTAAAATTGAGCCTATCTTAAAGTATTTCTGGATTTGCAGAGGATTTTTAGTGATTTGTTTTGCATAAGTGTTTTCTCAAAACCTAGACAAGCTCTAAGAGCAAAGAACTGTTGGTTTGATAATTCTACCTTAATGATACCATGGTGACAAAATATATACCGTAGATATTCCTCAGTGTACCCAATCCTGAATTTCAGTTATTTCCAATATGTTTTCTGTTCTGGAAGATGTACATTTTTATTCTTTCATTTTTTTAGTGTGACAGCTACCAGAGAGAACATGATTTATTCCGTTGAATGTCTGCGTGATTACATGTAAGCGTCTAGATGTGTAACAAATGCATTTTCAATTCATTCAATGAACATTCTTGTTGATAAAATTGTGGATCATTTTGTACTAGTAGATTTTTTGTTAAGTCTTTTTAAAAATACATCTTAGTTTTCTTTGCTTTCTTTATTCAGTGATACCGTGCTGGAGTATTTAATAAATGTCACTACTGCTCCAGAATTCAGGTCCTGGGAAGTATCAGAACTCAGTACCCGTTTAAGAATTGACAAGGAAATTGCTTTTCAAATCCCTCAAGCCCGTAAGTGATTTTTAAGCTGGTTGGCTATTAGTTCCTTAAAATTGGTGGGGAAACTTTTCTGCTACAACTATGTTTCTTCAGAGATGATTTGCTGCATGCTGGTCAGGCACAGGAGAGATTGCCTACAGGGTTCACTTGTTTTTTTCCTCTCCCCCCACAGAGTGGAGAGATTGGAGAGGAAGGGATTACAAGAGAGTAAGCAGCCACACAATGGGAATATACCAGGCTGCTTATGTAGCCCACTCGTCACTTACTTTTGATGCATGTTCCCCACTGTGCCTGCTTACTCTCTTGTAATCCCTTCCTCTCCAGTGAATGTAAATATTATTCCTTCTTGCTAATTATCCCAGTGCCGGAGTGAGCATTCCAAAGAGCAGGAGAGTCGGGAAAAGGAAATCAGAGTCGTGGTCACGTGATTTCCCACCTAGCAACCGCTTCACTTAACGACAGCTGCTGGTCCCAATTGTGGTCACTAAACGAGGACTACCTGTAAATAATGCTTTATGTTAAGTGGCGTTTCAGAAGTGTTTTTATTAATGTGAAAGTTTGGTTTTCAAATGAATTGTATTTTTGGTGGCCCAAGTGAGCTTAAAGGACAGCTTAGCTAATTCCACAAAATAGCTCTAATTTCCAGCCAATATCATATGCCTTTGCTAGGTGGTTAAGCATTCTGAAATATTCCTTTCTACCTTTTTTATTTAAAAAAATGTTCTGTCAATGGGGACTTCACTTCTGAGTTGAGGGAAAATGGTATATGCAAGCAACAGGACTTTTGTTTCTGTAGAGCACAGCTTGGATGCAGATTTTATTTATTTTATTTATTACCTTTATATAGCTGCTCATCTCGCACTTGTGACTGGGAGGCGCACGCAATTAAAATAACAAAAATCCAATTCCTTTGACTTGCTTCATAGTCAATGTGTTCCCTTCTGTTTTGCCTAGATGTTCTGGAGAATTTGCACGCAGCAGCTTATCGAAATGCCCTTGCCAATTCTTTATATTGTCCAGACTTCATGATTGGCAAGATTACATCAGAACAGGCAAGAATCTGAATGGTACTTTTACCGTGGTGATATCTGGAGAACCTCTGCTTTGTTCTGCCGGCTTAGGCAAGGCAGGTCTTCATATCATGCAGGACTGGTTTATAGACTTTGCTGCCATAAGATGTAATGATGGATATGAGTTTAGTAGCCTTTAAAAGGGGTTAGATAAGACAGCAGAGTGTGGACCTATCAGTGCAAGAAGTCACGATTGCTACATTCTGCCTCTGCAGACAGTAGCTGGGGGCCCAGCTGTAGAAGGGAGCTCTCCCATTCTGCTTGTGGACTTCCAGGGGTCATCTTTTTAGCCGCGGTATGATAGACAGGTGGACCTTTGATGTGACCCGGAAGGATTCTTCTTATCCTCTCATTTTAGTTACACATCAGCTCTTCTGAAGGGTTTACCTCTCTCTTTATCACAGTTGCACCAATATGTCCAGAACAACTTCACAAGTGCCCGAATGGCCTTGGTGGGGCTCGGTATGTAATCTGCCATTTGTGTTTTATGCTGTGCTGTATTGCTTTAAAAACAACACTCTCATCGTTTTGGGGCGTTCCTTCTGACTCCGATGTTATCTTGCAGGTGTCAGCCATGCTGACCTAAAACAGGTTGGAGAACAGTTTCTTAACATTCGCAGCGGGGCCGGCTTAGCTGGTGAAAAAGCCCTGTATCATGGAGGTAAGTTGCAATCTTCGACCCTGGCTTTCCTAGTGATGGCTTTTTAGCACTCTTAGATGGCTGGGCCTGTTTGTTGAATCCTCAGACCTTTTATTATGGGACTACCATCTTTAGCACTGTCTTACTACAAACACAGGTGTAGCTTTTCAAGGATAAAAATCCTATTAACCCACTCTTAGCTATTTATTCTATTCCTCCAAGGAATTCATAATGTTTCACAAGCATATAAGAAGCAGCCTTCCATTGTGTCAGTGCATTGGACCATTCAGGCCAAGGGTGCTCCTGAGTGAAGCAGGGCTTGCTTCAACCCCTAGTAGCCTCCCTACACATGGCCTGGGGCTTCTCAGAGTCATATCCCAAAATATCTGGAGGGGACCACATTGCTTACCCACGACTGGCAGCAGCACTCCAGGGTCTTGGGCTTCTCTCATCACTCGCTGTCCGATTCTTCGCTGGATCCAGGTTGGCAAGACAGGGGTTCTAACACTCGGTTATGTTGCTTTCCCCCCATAATTCTCATTCTAATCCAGTAAGATGCATTAAGATGTATATATGTGATTGGCCCTTGGTGAACGTCATGGATAAATGAGACTTTGATTCCAGTTACCCCATTGTTAAGTCCAGCACTCAAACCACTCTATCACATGGCTGATCATAACTGGCCTCCCATACTAGCTTTTCAAATTGTATTCCAGGGAGCTTTTTTTTTTTTAAAGTTCTTGATGTTTCTGGTTAAATTTCCCTTAAATACAGTTTGTTGATCTGCACAATTCCAGGGGAAGTGCTGAATGTATGTTTTAGGGCGAACTCCTGTTTATAAGCGATGATGATCTAGCAAGTATTTCCTACGATCAGGGAGTTTCCTGGAACGTTTCCTAGAATGCATAGAGATAGAGGGGTTTGGTGAAAAAAGCGAATGACAACACCGAGCAGTCCGTATTCAAATTCTTGGCATACTTTATCCAGACTAATTTATCCTCTTTTTTGCCTTGTCCTAAGGTGAAGTCCGGGAACAGCACAGTGATAGCCTCGTACATGCTGTTGTAGTAGCAGAAGGAGCTGCTATTGGAAGTGCAGAAGTGAACGCATTTAGCGTCCTTCAAAATATCCTTGGGGCAGGACCTCTCATTAAGAGAGGAAGCAGGATTACCAGCAAACTTGCCCAGGAGATTGCGAAGACAACTTCCCTACCATTTGATGTAAGCATTTAAACTTACTACTCTCTTTTTTTTTTTTATCAAGGGCAAAAAAGCAGAGCTTTTTAATAGATATAGATATTTGGTAAGAATTGTGTGTGAAATCCTTATCTTTGTAATATTTGGCAGAAGTGTGTGTGGCAAAATAACTTAGAAGCACTTCTTGCACTACAAGTAGTCCTCGTTTAGGTTTAGCAACCACAGTTGAGACCAGCAACTCAGTCATTAAGCGAAGCGGTTGCTAAGTAAAACCGCAACTGTGCTTATGATCTTACTTCAGTTTCCCTTTGATTTACAGACCTGCAAAGGTCATAAATGTGAGGATTGGTTGTAAAGTTATTTTTTCATCACTGTCACAACTGTGAACAGTCACTAAACGAGGACTACCTGTAGTCTCTTTTTAATGAATATATAGATATGTGCCTGTAATGGAGGATCTCCACCAATTGTGCCCTTGGTTCATGCCAGAGATGAAGTAATTGAACTCCCTAACAGGGAGAGCAATTCCACAGTGGAATCATTGCCCAAAAAGACAGTGGCTCCTCTGCACTTGGGGTGTTCAGGCAGAAGCCAGACAGCCATCTGTTGGGAATGCATACTGCACTTAATAGAATATTGGGCTTGAGGGCAAAATGCTCCTTTCAGCCCTTGAATTCTGTGGTTAGGTTAATGATAGACTTCCATTCACTGATCATCAGTTTTTAAAGGATTTTTTTAATGTAAGCATAAAACACCTTCCAGTCCCTGAGGTGGTAAGTGCCATTTAGAAGAAGCATTCCTTCTTCTCTCCTACAGGAAAAGTTGCCTCTTCTAAGATCTTTGCAAGCAATAGCACACCAACCAAAAGAAATGTGCTTTTTTCCTTCAGTACTATTTTTAGTACAATTCTTCAACTAAAGTTTATAAAATTAATTTGCTTAGATTTCATTCAGTGGGAATCCTTGGGACTGTAGTGTTGAACCCTGAGCTACAGATATTCTCTTCTGTTAATCCTAGTTCATCAGCAAATGGTTCAATTTCAGTTCATCTTAAATCCCAGCAGTTTGCCACGTTAAAAATAGGTTATGCTGAAGGGAAAAAAATGTGGGAATATGCTAACTGAAAGCAGCCTTATATTGCAGGTAACAGCATTTAATGTGAATTACACTGATTCTGGACTTTTTGGCATATATACCATATCTCAAGCTTCAGTCACTAGGGAGGTAAGGTATCCACGTGAATGTAATTCTAGATCACCTTGAGTCCTGTGAGCGGCTTGCATTCACACGTACATTCTCAGGGTGGGTGTGCCAAAATTTGCAACTCATTTAAGAGGGATTTTAAAGGGCAAAATGGATGTCTTTGAGGGTGGTGTACTTCCAGCTGCTGCAACCAGAAGTAAAATATTTTATAACTTGTGTTAAGGTAATCAAAACTGCTTTGAACCAAATGAAGGCGGTTTCCCAGGGTGGAGTTACAGATGAAGAAGTCAAAAGAGCCAAGTAAGTTTTCCTCCTAGGTTCTTTTGCAGTACTGTGTCTTGTTCACTGTCCAAAAATGCCATCGCTCTTTATCCTTTCTTGGCTTTCAGATATGGCTATGTATAATATAATTCTCTCTGTCTGTTAAAGTTTTATTAAGCTAGAGTAAAAAACTGACAACTTTCCGTATCTGTGAAATTTGCTAATACTCCAGAATTGAACAATAAAGTGGTATTCAAAAGCAAGGCTGTAACTCGAAGATAGAGTGCACGCATGCAAAAAAATTTTTGAATGCAAAAAATTCCCGGTATCTCAAGAGCATTGTCTGCTTGAGGCTCTGGAAAGCCATTCCTAAGTCAGGCCAGAGAATACCTTGAGATAAGTGGTCAAGTGGCTAGTTGGTTGTATTTGTAATCAGTTGGACATTTTTAAAAAAGCAGTAAAAACACTGTTATCTAAAATCCGTTTATTCTGAAGGTATTTTTACATGATTTTATAAAGTACATGATTACAGCATTTTTCTCCTGGAGATATTTTATTGAAGCTTGTTTTTGTTCCCAGTTGCATAAGTGAAACTTCCCAGGGGACTTTCATCAAGTTGCCTTCCTTAGAGAATGTCCCTAATTCCACACTGACGGCCCTTTTAACGTAACCCGCATCCTTTGATTCAACTGCAATATAAAATAAATGCTTGTCAAAAGCAAAGTGACAGTAATTGTAAATGTATTCAGTTTTATCCTTTTCACACATTTTATCTCTTTTCTTTCCATATTCGTTTCATGATGGGTTAATCTAGCATTGTACTATAATTTTGAGAATGTCAGCCGTGTAGGGGTAATGCCTCGTAAAAAGCTTATAAATCAAACGGGGTCATAAAACCTGCATGCCAAATGTGGCATCAGGTGGAGTGTATCTGAAAACTCAGCACTCGATTTGACTTGCTAATGAAGACCCTGGGAATTTTCTGAACCCTGAAGGGTGGGAACCTGCCTGGTAGCTATTTTAGGCCTATAGAGAGCACAGGGGAACCATGGCTGTACCAGTTTGGTGGGTAAAGGTGCTACTCTTTCCAGAAGCAGCCTTATTTCTGTACAGTGGGGGCTACTTGTCATACAGTTTCTCACTTAAAGGCAGAGTCTACGTGGCTCGAAACAGAATGCCTGTCTGTAGACTTCTGCCACCCTTTTAGTGAGACGTACTTAAGAGACACCTGCACACTATGGAAGGGATTTTTTTCTGTATCTTAGATTCAAGCTTTTCCCCTTAATTGGCAATCTTAACTTGTAAAAATCAATAGGAGTTTTGTCACTTTACTGTGGGAAGTGTCCTAACCCTAACTCATTAAAGTACTATTTACGCCATAGAGATGTCATCTTCATGTGTTGAGAGCAGGCTGCTGTACTTACCTTCTGTCCCTGATTCTTTGACAGGCAGCAACTGAAGGCAGCTTTTTTTATGTCTGTGGAGTCTTCAGAAGGCTTGCTTAATGAGATCGGTAGCCAGGCGTTAGCATCTGGGACATATACCTCACCAGCCACCGTGGTTGAACAGATTGATTCTGTGACCACTGCTGATGTTGTGAATGTAAGTAACGTGCCAGTCAATTATTATAATATGACCAGAAACCAAATTAAGCAGAATTTCATCTCTGCGTTTAGTAGGCAGGAATGGGGGAACTCCTGTTAATGATTTGCTTCATGACGTGGTCCACAGTCCTCATAACCAGGACTGAACCCTGAGCCACAGGCGCCCCCTTCTCCAGTGCTGAGTGTTTACAGGGAGAGGGTTTGTTCCGAGATGCCATCAGGCCCATCGCAGCTGTATTAGGCAAGGGCCTACTGTTAATTTGCAGACTCCAAAGTAAATATGTTCTTATTTGCTCACACTGTGGACGATAGTTCTTTGGGGTGCATTTGTGTCTAATTTTCATCTGTGTTGACTATTTTGGAGGCCTGGATTTGATAGAAAAGTGGGGATAGAAATAAGTTAGCATCAGTTTTTCTGTCAGAAAGACTGCCTATTTTAAAAGAGGCTTTGAGCTTAAAGGAATGTTGTTGTTTTTTAAAAAGCAGGCTTTGCTCATTGTTAAGTATGCTTACCAACCAAACTTTCTGCTTTATTTTTCAGGCTGCAAAGAAGTTTGTTAGTGGGAAGAAATCGGTAACAGCTAGGGGAAACTTGGCAAATACCCCTTTTGCTGATGAGTTGTAAGAAGTAAAACATAGGGTATGGTTTAAAGTGAATTCTAAAGCAATTGTATTGATTGCTCTTTCATGTGCTTTGGCTTTATAGATTTCCATGTCCATTTACATACACCAAATAAAGTGCAGAGCTCCTATAAATAACAGGACTGCCAGCATTTTGTGTTCAAATACTAGACTGCAGAAGTTGTCAGCTTTGTTTGGACCAGCTTATCAGACTTGTAAATAAATTAATTAATTACGAAAGGGAGTCCTGGCGTAAGCTGTATAAATAGAGCCTGTGAATATGGGGCTTGTGAGTTAGCTATTTCAAACAGAATTCCCTGTATGGCGTGCAAGAGGCAGGACCTATATTCATTTAGACCAGCATAATCATTTTGAAGTAAACTCTTACCTCTAAAAGTGAAAGGCGGCTGAATGCTGCTCTGTCAGTTCTGCTTCAGAGGCTAGCTTCCAGAAACAGCCTGTAAGGAAACTGACTGTAGTTTTCTTCTTCTCCCCTAAGGCGATTCCCCCACAGGAGAGCATTTCTTGTTTCAAAACCAGATTTCCATATTGCCAGACAGATGAAAACACATTTTCAGTACAAGGATACGGGGTGCAAATGAAAATCCAGCCGATAGGTCCAGTTTGGAGCACCCGGTCTTTGCCAGGGCAAAGGTGGACTCAGCGGCCTCTCTACTCAAATTCGTAAGAAACATTTTCAAGCCAAAATGCATCCGACACAGAGGAAGAAGACGACACTGAGGGTGCAACTTTATGTTTGGGCATAGTCCAGTATGGAGATGATGATGATAAATGTAAAGTTGAAATGTCAACATCACTTTCAGCTTCAAAATCTTTGTGGATCATAATGTCACAACCGATATCAGAACCCACAGTAAACGTATAGGTTTTCCTTTCAAAGATGTGCCAGTCTTTAGAGATCCACTTGGGTTGATTGGAAGGTTCAAAAGAAAGTGAGCGCACAGCTTTAACGTTAACTGAGTGCATTAGTTTAACATTTAAACTGCCCACAGATAAAGTTCTAACAGGAACTTCTTCCTGGTAGCTCTCCTCAGTACTGCCATCAGTATCTTCAATCTTATTTTCAATCTTATCTTCAATCTTATTTTCAGTCTTATCTTCAGTCTTATCTTCAGTCTTATCTTCGCTCTCATTATCTGAGTCTTCACTGCTTGTCCAATTTTCTTCACTGGTGTAACTTGCTGTGCTAAAATGTAGAAAATGAGGAGTTCCAGCAAGGAATTATTTACAATTATTGCTCCTTCCAAATAGTTTTAGAAGGGAAAGTCCTAAATCTAATCTGTTGTCTTGGCAATTAACAGGAGGAGGGATGGCTGATAGTAGAGCTCGTGCTTTGCAAGTTAAGGGTTCAGGTTTAGTTCTTGTGATCTTTCATTAAAAGAAATGGGTAGCAGTGATAAAAGACTTCTACTTTCAGTGTTGGGGAGTAAATAATGTTAGGGTACTTGGACTAATAGTATACAGATAGTCCTTGTTTAGCGACTGCTTCATACAGTAACTGTTCACAGTTACGACACTGATGAAAAAGTAACTTTGTAACCAGTCCTCACATTTACCACCTTTGCAGGTCTGTAAAGCAAAGGAAAGCTGAAGTAAGATCATAAGCACAGTCATGGTTTCACTTAGCAACCACTTTGCTTAATGATCAAGTTGCAGACCGAATTGTGGTCGCTAAATGAGGACTACCTGTGATGTCATATAAGCAGCTTTCTCTGCTCTTAACTTTTCACCATCTTGAATCAAAGGCTCAATATTATACTAGGTAAAATAGAATTTAATAAACTTAGAGATATAACCAAATAAATCTAACAAGGTATATAATATTGCAACCTCTACATCCCTGTTAAAACCAAACAATCTTTTCAAAATACCACATTGGATTTCCTTTAGAAATGAGTTGTATTGAAATGTTAGTTGTATGGAAAAAAAATACAGTCTGGGTTGATTATAAGTGAAGACTTAATGTGTACAAAAACCTAACTTTTTTTTTTGCAGCATTCATATCTAAACAAATTGACAATATTCCTGTGGCAATAGTAATTGGGCTCTCATGGTAAAAACAGTTCCAGGTTGTCTGATACAGACTCAATTTAAGATGCTTGGATCTAGAATATGACTGAAGGATTATATCCACATGCTTTGGCATGAGTGTTAAGATAATATCTGAGCTTCTGGTCCACAAATAAGAGCTGTGAAACTTGTAGATAACATTGGTGGTGCCTCTTTTGCACTGTCCTTCCCCCCCCCCCCATTTGGAGTACCATCCCCTTGAAATGGATATGCTCTCCTTTGCTGGCCTTTTGGAGAATTTTAAAGACTGATCTGGAACATAGTTGATTAATTTTATCTAAAGTTTGCTGCTACACCTTAATGAGCTTTATTTATGAATTCAGTGTTACTTTTTGGATTTGGTAACCTATCTGGTGCTATTCTCTACTTTGCGAGGGTTTTTTTTTAACCGCACAGAGGGCTGTAGTTCCTTTTTAAAAAAAAAAATCAATCGTTAGGGATGTAAATCTCAAACAATGCCTGTCCTTAATCTCTGTACGCCTTGCTGTGAGTAAACAAAAGCATTATTTTTGCCATTTTACTCTGTATTTGGAACTTTTACGTATTCCTCTGATTCTCATTCTGCCTTCTTCCTGGCTGTCTAAAGTTTGATAAGTGACGTAGAAATTAATGATCTGTTGTTACTATTTAAATAATACAAGTAATTATGGTATCTATGCAGCCAGGATGCATACTTTCTGACAGATTGAGAGCTGGACCTTATTTAATATACATTGGTCATAGTCCAAATATGGGTGGGGGCCAGGATCCAGTTGTAAGCCTTGTCAAATTTCAGTGCACCTAATTTGCTCAAACACTCTCCTGGTTCCTCCTCCTCCTCCTGAACACAACAGAAAATCTGTTTTCTGAGCAGATGGCTTGTAAGGATAGGGCAATAGTTAAAATACATTGCAAATATCTGAGGTGATGGGAACAAGTTGATGCTCAAATGAAAAAAGGTGGCAGGAAATCTATTGAAATCTTGCTGACATTTCAGTGAGTGTAGGCAGGTCTGAACTATCTAGACCAGTGTTTCTCAACCTTGACAACTTTATGATGTGTGGACTGCAACTCCCAGAATTCCCCAGGCAGCATGTTGGCTGGAGAATTCTGAGAGTTGAAGTCCATACATCATAAAGTTGCCAAAGTTGTGGAACACTGATCTAGACAAATTGTTTCACAGCTGCCCATTTTTCTATGATTTATTAATTTTGGGGTAGTTTCTAATACATCCATATCAATCAACATACCCTAATACAAATTGCCTCCAAAATATTTAGCAGACTGACCTCCTCTCTCTCCCCCCCGCCTCTCCAGTCTACCATTTCCATGCTTCCAGTTTTTGTTTTCTCTGTGACTTATATAACTTAGATAAGCTTTTTGGAAGTGGACAATAAAAACATCTGTCGTACATAATGTCCGTCGTAAATCCCTAGGTGAAAGCAAACTTTTAAACATAAACTGATTCTATAGAGTGGGGGAAAAAGAGTGCTGTGCTATCACAAGGCTCAAGGAATTTTGACACAAGACGATTGTGAATAAAATCAGCCTGTCAAAATTGTTCTTGGGTTGAAATGGCCAGGATTCCTCAACAAGTGACATTCATCAAGGGCAAATGGTAATTTAGAGAACATCTTTAAGAGGCACCCTGTATTTCAAGTGACATTTTTCCAAATGCCATAAATTTAATCTGGGACCTTCCGGATACACTCCCTCTTTGAGCTACAGCTTCTCTCTTTCAGGAAACCAAATAATATTTTTGTTACATTTGCATCCTGCTTTTCTTCTAGGTGTGTAATGTAATGCATGGGCATTTTTCCCTATTTTCGGTACGTCCCTATGAAGCAGAGTGGACTGGGAGAGTAGCCTGATTCATACAACACCATACGTTGGTTAGTTTTTGTGTGATTCACGTCATTGCGTTAGGAAATCATGATTTGTCAGCTTGGAGTATTGCGTGAATGGAACCAGTTATGGTTTCTTTAATTGGCCACTGTTAAGTAGTGTATGAACCCACTTGGTGTGGCCAGCCAAAAGTCACCCAATGAGCTCCAGGATCAAGTGGGTCTTCCATCCTGCTTTTCCCTGAGCGTTACAGCTCCCTGGCCTGCCATTTTATTTTTAGCCATTACCTGCCCACCTATTCAATATGCTATTTTCACATTCCTCAGAAATTTGGATGGATAACAGATTCTTACTCTATTGCGGGTCCCTTTAATTCAGGAATGTTCTTGAGAGCAGTTTCCCACCGGCCTGGAATTTTAATGAAATCCCTATAAACCTGGATTTGCAGAACCGTCCCTATAGGAACAGTGTGCAGAAGCTGCCTCAGTTCTCGCAGGGTCCACCCTAAGACATTAGCATGTCCGATTTTGAGTAGGGTATCACCTGAAATGAAAAGCAGGATTCACTAATTATGCTCTTAGCTGCAAGTAATTCCTTAATAAATGCAGTTGAAAATCGTTGTGCTAAACCGATTAAGGAAATATCAGGTTCAAACCTAACAACTGTAATGATAAAAGTGCGTGTGGGGGGGAAGGTCTGGAAAATAAGGTAATAAAGAGAACATGTCCAGAAATGTTGACCAGGTTGCTCAGAAGCCAGGCAGTCCATTGCCAAGCAGATTAAAATCTCACGTTAGGATAATCATGGGCTTTTATCAAACAGCACCTGTAGCACCTATTGGGGAGCCCAGCTTATGTAGCCACGTGTTAGAGATGGTTCTTATCTCACAACAGATGCAACATAATCTGAAGGGGGGGATATTAACTATGTCATAGTCAGTTCCCTCTCTAATTGCTATGGAGCTGACCAGCATGAACAACCTCTGTGGGGAGGAGGGACCTATTTGATCAGCCTGCTCTGGGAGCTAGTTGGATCCTTTGGGTTTCCAAAGAGTACTTGGGGAGGCTATGGTGGACAGTCCTACTGAGGCTTTGGAACTGAAAGGCAAGTAACACCCTTGGACAATATTGCACGTGAGTAGTCTCTCCCACTTCATGGATCCTTACTGAGGAGGTCCAGGAGATGAACTGACAGAGGAGATGCCGGGAGCACTGCTGGTAGAAGACAACAAGCCTGTCTGATCAAACATGGGCGAGGGTTCAGTTGACAGCCTATGCTGGGGTAATGAAAGAGGCAAAATGGTCATCTGTCCTGGAGAGTGATTGAGTATGAGCTGCGGTGGTTTCTCCATTTAAACCACTTCTCTTTTGCTATTGTTGTGAATAGTTTTTCGTCTTATTACTGTTTTGTATGGTCTCAAACTGGTTTTGTGTGTTTGCCTCACCTGCTTGGAGTTTGCCATCTCTGGCAGCAGCACCTTTCTCTACCAGACCAGAAATCTGGAGATAAGGCCCATTCTGAATCAGTATGAAACCTAGACCATCCTCATCCATCTGAATATTTGTCTTGATTGTTGTGCTCAAAGTATGTTCAGAATCCTCCATGTCTGAAGACTCATCTAAATAAGAAATGCAGGGGTCTTCAAAAGTAAAGCTTAGCTTTGCTTACTAGTCAATATGGAACCCTATCATGCCCAGTTTCCTAAATAAGGCAATACAATTCCTCTGGACGTATTGTACAAAAGGTGCATGTCTAAATTTTTATCCTGTCCTTAAGTCAACTCTAGTTCTTGCTTTCTGACCAGTATAAATGGCTGGGTTTGTGTTGGGCCATAAATAGATAGTGTAGCATATTGTGCAAACTACTGTAAACCATGGATTATATTACAGTATGTTGTGCAAACCAAACTCATTGTATTCTGAACAATGGTTTCAAATTATGGCTCAATAGGGCATCTAAACCTGCCTTTCGCTAGCATCAGTCTGATTCTCACAACCACAGCCCAGGCCACTGGCTCAACTATTCTACAGTCTGAAATTTTGAAGCGACCCAACCCATAGTGCATTAGAGCTGTTTTCCCCAACCTGTTGTTCTTAACTCTGCTGGATTATGACTTCCCCACCAATTAACATGTTTTCATGTTTCTGGTAATGGATTTTAATAATTATAGGCCAACACGTTTGAAGACAAGAAGTTGGAGAATGCTGAACCAGCAAATCTTGGCCAATTCCATTGATCTATCTTCTCCCAGCTAACTTCCTCTAAATGTATTGGATGTCAGGTTAGAAATACGTTTTGTCTTGAACTCACTGGTGCTCACCTGAATCCCAATCACTCTCATAATCATCTGAGTCAGTATACAGGCTTTCTTCATCTGCAGAGAATGAGAATTCTAGTAAGTTACAAAGCTCAAATAGCCTGGCCAAAAGTATACAACAGTCTGGCAGAATAATCCAGTGGACATGCCTCTACACTTCAGCTTTTTGCTCAAGCCAGATCTTAGCAAAGTGCTTTTTAGGAAGTAAAGAAAAACATGGAAATGTTTGCAAAGATGGGAGCCAAAGTATAACTTGAGCCCCAAGGTTTGAGGAAGCCTAGTGGCATTTGCTCTTTAAATAACAAACTTCAGTGCCACATCATCAACTGCTTAGAAAGTTCTACTTTGAAAAGCCATTTGTTACTAAGCATTGGTGGCTGCCTGAAATTTGAAGACGAATCAGATGTATATTTCATTGGATGCCATCTAAGATGTCCATCTATCAATCATCAGCTTACTGCTTAGTACTTCCAAAGAAAGACTTGGCCTGCAGTCATTAATTTATTGTGTAAATGTATGCGGGAACCCAACAGTGATATCAAAAAGAATCAGCAGCATTTGTTGACACAAAGATTTGTAATGTCAATCGCAAGAATTTGTATCAAATTGTTGATGGCACTGATGGGAAGAAAAAGGAAGAAGAGTAAGAGTGAGAAGGAATTTAAATTAGCTATAATGATACCTGACGATACATGTGACCATCTTCTGAAGGCTGTTCTTTTGACTGATGACCTCCTTCTGAAATATGGCCTCCTTACAGATGGCCTCCTGGCAGATGATCGCCTTCTTTCAAATGATCTTTCTCTGGTGGAGGACCGCCTTCTGTCAGAAGATCTCCTCCTGTCAAATGTCCTACCTCTGTCAGGTGACCTTTCGACTGATGACCTCCTTCTGAAATATGGCCTCCTTACAGATGGTCTCCTGGCAGATGATCGCCTTCTGTCAAATGATCTTTCTCTGGTGGAAGACCGCCTTCTGTCAGAAGATCTCCTCCTGTCAAATGTCCTACCTCTATCAGATGACCTTCTGACTGATGACGACCTTCTGAAATGTGGCCTTCTTACAGATGACCTCCTGGCAGATGATTGCCTTCTGTCATATGATCTTTCTCTGGTGGACGATCTCCTTCTTTGAGAAGATCTCCTGTCAAATGTCCTCCCTCTATCAGATGACCTTCTTCTATCAGATAATCTATCAGATGAACTGATAGAAGGCTTTAGGGAAGATCTCTTGAAAGTTAACTCTTTCTTATAATTTGGCTTTTTCTGATCCATGGTTACCAACCCTCAAGAGATTGTATATGGAACCAAACATGTACAGAGAAGTGCATATGGAAAGTGGAAATGACCACCAACCTGCAAATATAACATTAAGGAAGAACACTGTAGTAGGCAAGGTGATGGAGATGCCTAGCAACAGTTTAGAATCTTATTGCTATTTGAATTCCAGGAATTTTGGAACTTTCAAGGATGAGTAAAGATAAAAACCTGACTGGACAGATTTAATATATCTTCACAAGCTTGTGGTATATCTAGTGTTGTTGCAAAAGTGGAATTGTGGTAAAAAAAATGCTCAAAAGCAATGTATTTTAGGTAGCAGATCTTGACAAAATATCCCCCACCTCTGATTTTTCTTTAAAACTGAATTGCAACAGCAGGGTTGGAATAGAGGTATTTTTTTTTCTTGCATTGTTGTCTTGATCTGTTATCAAGCTCCATTTTCTCTAATAGTACAATAGCAGATTGCATAACAAATGTTAAGTATCTCCCTCAGTGTGGAAACAAGTACTAAATCTGTTTCCTCCCGCACTCTAATATTGCTGGTATGATTACAATTGAGGAACACAACTCTCAAACTGTAAAGAAATCTGATCACAAACCACTAGCATCTTGTGCTGCTGAGTTCTAAATACTAATGTGCAATAGCAAAAAGAGAATCTTATTGTTGTACTATGTGGAGTACATATATGGGGAGACACTTTATATAATGCAAAAACACCTCAGAGCTAAAGACATATCTGAGTAGACATGTATTAATACCTCTGTCTTGCAAAATTTCTCTGGGTGAGGTAAGCCACTCAATATTAAAAATAAAGTTAGATCTTGATGGAGGACAAGCATCATGCTAAATCATGGCTTGATTAAATAAACCACAAGTTGTTGAGTTTGCACAAGGTGAAGAATACAGTAAAGCAGGGATCACGTATGGACAAGGATAGACAAAGTGGCTGGATTCACACAACACACTAAGTCAAAGCCAAACCACATTATGACTTATGGTGATACCTCCTGCTGTGCTGACTATACCTGCTCTCTTGGGTCCCCTGCAGAAGTCTTTTACACTATCTGCTACTAGTGTCAACTGAATCTTTCCCCTGCTATAAACAATTCACATACTCTGCCTCTGAGAAAAAACTTCCCATATTTTTTTCCTAAAACTAGGTTCTGCAATAATTTTTTGCACAGCAAGCTGTGGAGATAATCTCCTAAGGAAGGGGGTCGTTTTTAAGGGAGTTGAATAAATACTGGAGTTAAGTAGTCCTTTCTCAGAGACACTGTAATTTGCACAGATGGGTCTAAAAATAAACTGGATAGACCATTCACTGCGTAAATGTCATATAGCAATTAGTTTAGGGTAACAGCAGTGTTATGGGTATGTCATATCAAGATACCCATTGAAAGGAAGGGGTGTTGCTATGGTTATATGTATATTTAGAATTTTTGCAAGTCTGTGGCTTTCAAGTTGTTAGAGTTGGCAGTCTAATATACCAGTTATTGGTCAAACATCCTACACCACTGGATGCAAATACATCAGATTTTTGGGGGGGTCACTTGTGGAAGCACTATTTAGCATTACTAAAACATAACTTTTAGAATATTTGATGTGATACATCTTTAGGGGTTATAGACACAAGCACATTTAAAAAACAGCTTTTATAGAAGTCCCAATCATAAAGATTACTTTGCATAGTAAACAAGTAAGACCAAGTTATGGAATGAAAAAGTACAGAAGTGGGAAGGACTGGGTAGGCTATTCCAGAAAATTATCTCTTCTAAGCCAGTTGCCCTGGCCTGGGCCCAGATGGTATAACTGTTGGGAATCTAAGTCTCCAACTGCTGCTGGTAAATGCCAGGTTTGTGCATAATAAGACCTTCATGACATGGTGATGGATGAACATGAGACCTGGCTGGGGTAATACTAAGGATGCTGCCTTCTCAGAAATCTGCTCAGATGGGTTTCAGGACCTAAACACCAAGGTCAGAAAAGAAGTGTTGTGATTGTGTGTAAGTGTCTGGCAGTTACAGAAAGTGCTGCCTTGGAGGTGACTGAATGCCGGTGCCTCTGCATAGAATTAAGTCATTCTGACAACATAGAGCAAACTGTGCGCCAAGCTGCCAAGCAATATCCTTTCCTATACTTTGCCTCAGGACCGATGCTGGATTTCCCAAGGTGTTAAGTTTTGGTTTAATCTTCATGGCCTGGGAGACGATTCTGGTGGAGCTTGTGGGTTAGTGGCATTCATGATGACCACGAGCTTGACTGACTTGACTGACATGGGCTTACAGCCCTGATCATTTCTGTTTTTACTTTATTATTATCATGAACTGCTAGAGCCATTTTTAATAATATAGATATTATTAAGCACTCTCATGCTTAAAACCCGAAACCTGTAATTTTAGTTGTACTGGTATCATGATTAATGTGTGTTAGAGTTTTAAAAAATCAGTTAATTTTTATAATATGTAGGTTACACTGTCATTTCAATAGGACGGCTGTAATCCTATTTTTCAAAGCTTTGTTTTGCTGGTCGATGACCCAAACGAGACTTCACTTGACTTGATCCACTCCAGGTATTTAATAGATCCAGAAAGTTTCCAAGGAGAATTAAAGGAGTCCTCCAACAATTTGGCATGTAGTTCTGTCCATGCCTGAGCTAACAGGGTGGTGATTAGAAGTGGTGATTCTACTTTGGGTTTACTCATCCTCAGATTCTCACCCGAGAACCCTCTTCAGGGTTACCTGGAAAAGATGGTTGGAACAAAACAGCAAATGAGTTTTCAAGGGTCTTCTGAGGTAATCAGGGATTCTTTTGAGCTTGTGGAATTTCATTATGATCTTTTTAGGATTGTTCTTATGGATCTCATGTAATATTTCTGGGATCTTCTGGGAGGAAGAGCAGTACAGAAACAAACTGCTCTGTTTCCTGGGTTTTCAACTCAGCCCTTGTCCTTGCAGTGGTCTATGAAGAAAATAAAGCCATTGCTCACTGTTTAAGGCTCAGGACAA